TCTATGGAGTTGGCCCCGGGCATCACCAAACTCTGAACGTCACTGATCTTAATCAAGTTTTGGTTATATATTTTTGTCAATTATCAGAGTCAGTCAGCCTCACCCTAAGTAAGTGAAGAGCTATTTCAGGAGATCCAATTTTATATACTGTTTAATCCAATTGACACGCATTTACCTTTACCTTGTACAACATTCGTGGCGTAGAGAGGGAAGACATGCTGCAAGAGTAACAGCCAATCTCTCATAAAACCCTGCCCAGTTCTGCGCCCTGGAGAGGACACTCTAGCATTGCTTCACCGCGACGGCAAAACACAGGAAGCAACAGTCGACTCATGAGAGGATACCGAAGGACCTTCTGTATGGGGGAACTCGCTACCGGCAAGAAGGCACAAGGGCGACCCCATCTTCGCTTTAAGGGACATGAGGGTGACGGACATAGACATCGAGAGGTAGGAAGATGCCTCCAACGATCGCTCACGCTGGAGCGAGAAGAGAAGAAACGGAGGTTTGCCGCCAGGGAGAGGCGTGTTCGAAAGAAAGAAAACAACGGCAACATCGGGGGAGAGCGTCTTCACATGCATTAGTTGCAATCAAGACTTTCACTCTCGTGAGGATATGTACAATCATAACAGATGCTACGCTGCCATCAGCAACTGAGGCATATCTTTTGGGGCGCAGATCCATGGTCTCTCGAGACCGATGAATACCACACATTATAATTGACACGCTTAATTAGGTGAAATCGACTCCAAAGGAGGGCAAACATTTGGTTTGGTACGTGTTCCTAAGCGTAGCAGTATGAGGCATTATGACATTTTAGAGTATCAGTGACCAGATTAACTTGCTGCTTCTCTTAAATGGGTACCTGCGTATCTCAATTTTAAAAAAAATCTGTATATTCCCTTTGTTGGGTCATGCACTGCATGCAGGTGGGTTTGCAACAAATTTTCTTTTACGACACTCTTTTGCAAGGTATTTAAGTAATATGGAAATTGTTCAATGATTATGAAGCATTTGAAAAATGTTGCTTGGTGGTCATAGCTCAGATATAATTTACGGCACATTTTGCATGGAAATTAGAATGGCGACAATGAAGGAGTGTCACAAAAATGGCTGCCTTTTGTTTACTTTTGCTCAAAATCACATATTGGACACAACTAAAATTGTCAGCATCGCGAAACATTTACCGAATTAAGTTCAAAAACATGCAGTCAATACTAAAATAATTGATTTTAAAAATATGACTTATGAAATGTAGGAACCCACTGTATATATTTGTAGGTGTCCTTTCATAAATCAATGAAAATATCCACGAATTTGTAAATAAGAACAGTAATAATAAGCAAACACAATAGTAAAATTATATTAAAAAAGCAATCTCCGAGTATTGATATTGACGATAACCTTCAATTAAAAGTCCAAACACTCAGAGCTGAAAGTTACACAATCTTAGGAAAAAGAAAATTAAGCCTGACTTTTTCGTTTAATTAATTTTTTTTTCTTTTTTTAAATTACCAGATTTTGAGAGATCGGCCTTGCCTCGTCTTTTGTGAATGCTGGACTCTGTATGACCTAGTGTCAAATTTGGCTGAACCAAACAAATACAAATATATTAATGAATTTAAGCGCAGCACTAGATTGGCCGTAAGGTCTCATCGTTTTACAGTTGAAATAGCTAGATAGAACCGGAAGTTCTATGCTAACATTATAGTTTCTCACAATTCTTCCGGTTTCTTGCTTTTCAGGAAATCGTTATCTTCTATCCTCTTAAATTCTGTTATTTTATTTTTCTCGAACCTTAATAATTGTTTTCTTATAGTCTTTCACACTCAGTAACCCTCATGTGTGTTAATAGCTCTGTGGCCTTGCCTGGGGTAAAATGATAAAAAAGTAACTAGGAAATATAGAAACTGAATGGTAAAGTAAGACAGGCCAGGCGCGTCTTATCCCGGAAACCCCTGACTGGCGGGGGCATATTTTTTGACATTTTTTCAGCACTATGGTCATCCTCCATTTTTTTTAATTATTTTTAGATTGACGTTACATTGTCAGTCATCAACTAATAATATATATCGTGTATCTGTATGGCCGAAACAGTGGGTATTACGCATATTACTACAACCTCGATGAGGTTGTAGCCTTAAAACGAGGACAATAAAGATTTCTGAAAAAAAGAAGGACTTTTATGGTCAGTTTAGCTATTAAAATTATTCATCTTGAGTAAAATAGGATATCTGTGTGCAAAATGGAAAAACCGCCAGAGAAGTAAAATCAAATTTCTGTTACTGTCACACTGAATTAACAGGGATTATAGCTCGATTCTCTTCCTATATGCCAGATTGGTAAAGCTCCTCACTACTTTGCCAGCCACGAAGAATGATCTCAAAACCTCGACCTTCTGTCCGGAATCAAAGAATGATATCTGTTCTCTTCATTTTACATGGAAGAAGACGTCTAGTCTTGGGGATTCCAACCGTACGGCAGCAGATTACTCGTTGCACTAAGAGAGGTGGGTTCGGTGTAATATTGACGCTAACGTGTCAGTAGACGCGGGTAATTTTTGTCCTTGGCTTATATCTATCATCGTTTGGGTACCCTTGTGCCACATCCTACCTTAGTGAGGAGGTCAGTGAAATAAAATCACAAGTAACCCATTAGGGTTGTCAGGGCACCACCTATACTACAGACACGGCCACCCCCAGACCGATAACACAAAGAAATCACCTTCTTGACAAATCGACCAAGATGAGATTCGAACCCAGATATTATATTTGGAAAAAGAAAGTTCTAGCTACTTGTTCACGTCTGAGAATACCGAAAGGTTGAAACCAAGGTAGCGTGATTATTGATCTCCTAATGTTATATATATATATATATATATATATATATATATATATATATATATATATAATAATAATATCGACTAAACTTTCATATGAACACAAATCTTTCGGTCTCCAACCCTTAGCGGCTGGTTGAAATTTGGTCTCTGGGGATTCATCGCTAACGCAGTATCTACCCATTGCATTGAGAGAGATAGGGTAAGATATAAAACCTGATGTCTGTGGAAATAACTGACTGGAGCAGGAAATTCCTGAAGAATTCGCGATGGTGATTTGAGTCGTATGAAAATGCCCCACTCTAAAAAAACAGCCTTATGTCAATTTTTTTCGCTAACAAATACCCGCTCTCTGCAAACGGATGTCTATCTACCTTAAAATACATATATGTTCATATAACTTCTTTTTTTTTTTTTTTTTCTGTTTCCCGTTGTTTTATACCTATAGGTTTGGTAATACGCACACAAACATATAAATGTGTATGTATCTGTCTGTCTATCTCTATATATATGCACATAAAAGTATATTAAAAGTTAACCATTCCTGTTGTAAGCGAAATAACAATGGTCGTAGAATGCACTCAGTGACCCAGTGGCCCGAGCAAACCGGAGTGTTTGGTGGGAAAATCGTGACGAAGATTTCCTTTGCTGTTGTTAGTGAGAACAGAATACTTCTGATAATCTTTGTCTAATGAAGCCTAGAATGACAAATAATACGTTGGATTTTCACACACATGCGCTTTTGGCGGGCGATATTTTCGCACGCACACACACATATACATGCATACATACGCGCAGTCGCAATTTGGCACATAAACAAATGTCCACACTTGTAGCCAATCAAAACACGCATGAGCAGTTACAGTCTGGTCCCTATTTTTACACTTGAGTAATTTAAAAAAAAAAAAATTGCATGCATCGTTATTTGGTTAACTGTGGATAATATATTATCCCAAGTTCTTGCAACCGCTCACGTTTTGGGATTGAGTTTTTGGATTTTACAATGATCGAATTTAGAGATTATATTCTTGAATACAGAATGTACGAGTGGTGTAATGGCGAGCGGCACGGAACGAGAAATCGATGAGCCGAGTTCGAATTCCAGTCGAGTTCGTTACATTCACTTTCGCGCAAATAAGGTATGAATCCATCTTCTCCATCTATGGGTTAATTAGTAGATTAGGCAGGACTCTTCAACCTTGGTTGACGACTAGTGTATGAGAAGGACAATTCTGAATTTAAAACTGTTTGGGTATGAGACTAACAACTTTTTATGTTAAATGCAACAACAAGCTGTTGCGCCATGCTTTACAGTTGGAGTATACGGAACTTGAGAGATTCTTGAATATAGATAAGTGGATCTTACGTTCTAGATCACTAGCATGCGATATTTATTAAACTGGCCTAATCCAAAATGAAGGGACATAGGAGTAGGAAGTCGCACCAATTTTGAAAATAGGCAGATATGGTATACCTATGAAATTCTAAATTCTGGCTTTACCTGGACCTGACAACTAAATTCCAACACCAGTGAGGCAATATGTAACTATTTCATCCGGGAAGCGGTAAAAAAAATCATATAAGTTGGGGGTCAGCGTTAATTTCGTCATAACGTGTTTACTGTTAAATCATCTTTAGTGAAATATTTTCTTTAATGTGGTTAAAGTACGACCCAGAGACCTATTTGAACTGCTAGGAAAACTTGATTTATTTGGAAAATATATTAGAATAATACAGAACTTATACTTGGAGCCAACCGCTCACATACAGAAAGAAAATGTATTGAGTAGCTATACAAAAATAGCAAGAAACATGAGACAGGAATGCATATTTTCCCCAGATTTATTCCCTTAGGATAAATATAAATTGAAAGAAAGTAACGAAGAACGAAATCTAAACGCTTACTACGCAACGGTGTAGCAATGTTTGGGTAAAGGGTTGTAATAGCTAGTGTGTGACAGAAACAAATACTGGAGGATTTTCACAGCTGAAATCCTGGTATTTCTAGAATTAAATCTCTGATGAGAATTCTGGCCGTTGGTCTCGAAAAGGACCTCCAATCTGTTGTCGACTGGGGCAAGAAATGGCTATTTAACTTTAATGCCTCAAAAAGAAAACTGCTCTTTTACTCACCAGAGAACCCTCCCTGCCTCCCATTAGAATGTTTAATGCTCAACTCCACGAGAGTACCTCTCTGAGACTGCTTGGTCTCACACTGTCCGCTGACCTGAGATGGAACAAATATATTGAATCAATAGTTTCATCTACCACAAGGAAAGTTGGTTCTCTGTGTCGCGCCAGTAGGTTTTTCTCGCCAGAGTCCATCCTTCAAATCTATAAATCAACCATTCGCCCTTGCATGGAATACTGCTGCCATATATGGCCTGGATCCCCCTCCCGCGCTGTTCATCTTAAGGTCCTCGACAAAATCCAGAGACGGATATGCAATGTGATTGGGCCTGATCTGGCATCTCGTTTACAGTCGCTCTCTCACAGACGTGCAATCGCTTCTCTCTGTCTTTTCTACAAATATTTTCACGGCAACTGCTCTGACGAACTACATTTGCTCGTTCCCAAATTGCATGAATTTAAACGTGCTACTAGATTGAAATCTTAGTCCCACCCTTTCACTGTCGAAACGGTTAAATATAGCCATTTCTTCTACTCCAATAGCTTCATGTTTCGCTCTTCCCGTCTGTGGAACTCTCTTACCTCTTACTTGCTTTCCTGATAGCTATAATCTCCAAATATTCAAATGCAATGTCAATCGACATCTCCAGATGACCTATTCCCCGTCCTTCTCTTCATCCTTTCCTCTATCACGCCTCTTTACTCTTGCTCCCACTCTCTGTAACCCCTTGCGTGCTCGTGGCACTCCCGCCTACCTTGGGTTGAAATGCTTAAAAAAAATTTACATTATTTACATTGTTTGGACTGTTGTCCTCACCTTTATTGCCATATTCACGACGTTTCGGCTATTGCACGCCCCGGACTTCTTCAGGTGACTGAAATTTCGAACAGAAGCCTTTATTTTATCCAAGGGGATAGATTGTTCTAGTTCCACGTGTCATGTCTCTTCCGGATGTCTTAGTTATCTGCCTTTCGAAATTCCAATCACTGGAAGAAGGCCAGAGCGTACAACGGCCGAAACGTCGTGAATATGGCAACAAATATGGCAACAGTTCGAACAATGTAAATAGTGTAAATAATTACAATACTTCATCTCAGAAATATTGACAGATACTCTGATGAGAAGTTTCGTACATTGGACCAGAATGGATCAAGTTATCGAAAAAGTAGTGAAAGCTTGCAGAGGTTGTGGTCTGGCAGCAAAATTGCCAGAGCCTTGGCTAAAGGCAGGCACGTTGTGGTCAAGACTGTATATAGATTTTGATGGTCCTATAAATAGATCTCATTATCTTGTGGTAGTTGATAGTTTCACTAAATGGTCGGAAATTTATAAGTGCAAAAATCCAACATCATCAGTGACAATGAATTTCTGTTATGAACTGTTTGCGAGATATGGCATACCAGATAACATAGTCTCTGATAACGGAACGGGTAAAGAATTCGAAGACTTTTTTGTAAGATTTTTTCCATTGAGTATATTACAACCCCGCCTAACGGATAAGTAAGTCTTGAGAAAGTAAATGAGGAAGCATTTCAAAATTTTCTGAGAGTTTACCGCGTAACAAACCCAACTGCACCATCAGGCATGTCGCCGGCGGAATTAATGCTTGCTAGAAAAGTAAAATCGGTGTTCGACAAGTTATTATCAAGTCGGAAAACACGAACGGATAACAAAAACGACACAACATTTCAAATTCAGCGATAAAGTGTTCTTTAGAGGAATATAAGGATAGCAAAGAAAGGTGGGAAGATGGCTGACATGATAAAAGGGAAAAGATTTGAACTTAAAAGGCACCATAATCAACTGAAAAAATGGTTCATCGATGAAAAACGTGAAACGTTGGAAGAACCGATAAAAATGCTATATGATGTTTTCGATGCGCCAGTATCACAACAAGTCGTGGAACCTACAAGGAGAATTTCCGGAAAAAGAAATTTAAATTTTTGAAGATCAAAGTTAATTGGAAAGCATTGAACCGGAAGAGAGAAATGTGAGAAAAGAAACTGCTAGCATAGAATATACGGTTATATATAGCTAATTCAACTGTAAGTTGATGAGATCTTTTTGCTAAACTAGATTCTAAAAATCTTATAATCTAAATTCATAAAGCGTAGGGGCTATAGTGAAAAGTTCATCCGAACAATTAGCGTGAAAGTATTTATAGAAATGTCACAGAGAAGCAAATTTACAGCGGTGGGAAAGTGACTGAAGTTGAGATGTCAGGTCAGGGCCAATAATATTGCTGATTCTTTGGATTTTATCGAGAATTTCTAAATAGATAGCGGGAGAACCGGGCCATATGCGGCAGAAATGTTCAAGGCATGGACAAATGGGAGACTTATAAATATGTAAGATCGATTCTGAAGAGAAAACTTATCTAGCACGACCCAGTGAACCAACTTACTTAACAGCTGACCTAGCAATGGATTCAGTATCGTCTTTCCATTTCATGTCAGGCGTGAATATTAGCCAGAGTCACTGTCATGGAGTTTAGCATCAGTCATGCTGATGGAAGGAAGAAAGGGGTCTCTCAAACGATTAATCGATTTAATGCAAAAAACTATTTGGTTTACATTTTGCTCGCAAAACAGATTACTGAGACAAAATGAGGTAAAATTGGATAAAGTATGAATTACTTTTAGACAAATGTAGCCTATTCATTTTCTTCTTCCAAGTAAAAAATGACCGTGATGTATACTTATTTCTAAGAAGGTATTTATTCAGTTTAATCTTGGGTCAAAGACACAAAAAGTGAGGCCACAGAGAAGGATCGAAATCACTATCATAATATAATGGCTTGTGAGACTATATTAACAATTCTGTACGTATCCATACGTTTTAACTGGATTTCTCACTACTGTGACCTATCGTTCAAAGAGTATTTTCATGGTATTCTCCTAGTAAATATCTCGCTACTATGTACTTTTTTCTGTAACAAACAAACATACCCACAGAAATATTGATTGCAAATTTCTTTAAATTTATATTATCAAATTATATTATTATTATAATTATATTATTAAGTTATATGCTAATAATATCTTCTGTCGTACTTCTCACATGTGCAACTCACTTCCGGCTTCTTGTTTCCCAATACACTTTGATCTTCAAAAATTTAAATGCAATGACAATTGTTATTTTCTGTTTTCTTAATTCCTGATTTTTATTGTTCTCTTTCCTTCATAGTGTTTTTCTCATACTCTAACACTCAGAAAACCCCTTGCGTCTTAGTAGCTTTATTGCCATGCTTGTGATTAAATAATAAAAAAAATGATTTTTACGAATATAAACGACGTGAATTGTCACCTATAAATAAACAGTTCATAAATTTCGGAACATACATAGCTTCATCATCCTGGTTATGTAACTTCAAGTTTTATTTTGAGATATTTTAAGCTAAACTTCATTATAATCTGATTCCACTGTCCTTGTTAGAGGATACCTGGAATTAACAATTCTATTTATCCGTCCTAGTGATGGATAGAGAAGATTGACTAAAAGTTTCGGTTCGAAATTCTGAGAATGTTATCGAATACAAGAGGCACCAGAAGAAGAAAGAAGCAAAGTGATATGGTCAGTTACCTCTTCAATAACAGAAGATATGTCGACGCCATTTTGATTAATCATTCTTTCTTCATTCTTTTCTTTCAATACAAACCTGGATCAAAACAAAACCCCTTCAAAATGTCTCTCAGATCTTCTCATGCTAACATTCCAATGCTTATTATATTAAACAATGAACTTTTGTCGCATTGTTCGCATGTGACGAACTCCAGTCTTTTTGTTTTTATTCTTTCTTACTCCTTATTTTCAAAATGTCCATCGTCATTCCAAACCATTCATTCTTTATTGTTTTCTACTTCTCCACCCGCGAAACTTTAATTCATATTTTCTCTTTTTCACGTACATATTTTTTTTGATCGATTTAAAACAAATCCAAAGAAAAAATTAAATTGATTTTTTTTTATATATATAATTTTCCTGGTTTCATTTCGTCATTTTCTTTCTTTTTTTTTTTTTTAAATCACCGTCTTTCAAATTCCACGCTCCATTTTGTATCCGCATAAAAAAAACAACAGCAATTTTAAATTCCTCCTTTCTACTCACACATTCGTATATTTGTAAAGGATCCACGTGCACTACGACGAAGTTAAGCTTTTATTCAAATCAATCTTTGCTTTCGTTTTACTCTGCTGCACACAGGTGCGAATGGCGAGAATTGACTTAGGTCTGAATAAACAGTAAGTAAAATTGAAACTGAAGATAAGCATACTAAGTACATATGCGTGAAAGCATTGAAAGCAATGTTTAAACAGTGACCATGAATACGTTGTACGGTGAATGATGAATATATACAGATATATATATTACACACACATACACCCACATATTACAAACACAGATATATATATTGCACACACATATATATATTACACACACATACACCCACATATTACAAACACAGATATATATATATATATATATATATATATATATATATATATATATATAATATATGGTAAGATATCTGACTGATACCGGCTTGAAGCAATCGGACGTCTAGCCACACTGATCACCTGTGATACAGCAAAGCAGGCTTGTATGTTGATGACTATATAAAACACGTCTCATTAAATAACTTAGACAAGTTTTTTCTTCTTATTTACTTATTTTTACTAGGATCCTCTTGTAATTACGGACAAGTTTCTTAGTATCCGAACTGAATGAAGAAAGAATTTACCATGTTAATGCATATACATTTTATTCCAAGTACTTTCGACATAGGCACAATGTCGTCATCAGGGTTTTGTTTTTTTCTAACACAAAAAATTGTGTTCATCATTAATAAACCGTGCAAAAATTAATTCATCCACAAAACTGGGATTCTACAGTAAACTAAAAAATATAAAACATCCTCTTATCAATAATAACTTCTCTAATTATATTTTTGATGAACAAATAAGATGTTCTATTAGAAATTTTAATGTACACCAAATAGAATATAATAATTCTGCAATTAAACCTAAACATATCAATCTTTTATATCGCAATCAAATACATTCTAATTACAAACAGGATGAAAATATCCTAAAAAAAGAAACCTAATAAATACTAATATATTAACCACAGATCCTAGTAAAAAATAAAATTAATTATATACTATAGTAAATTCAATATATCCAAATCAATGAAACAATGATTTTTCACCAACTAACTTGTGTCAGAAAGGCTATATAAAATTTAAATGTCGCTTGGGAGATTGTATCTCCAACAGAAAAAATAATATATATGTTGGCCATGGCAATACTACGTTGTTAATGAGTTATGTCTTAATGAAAGCATGCTCCAAAATATACGCAATATATATATATATATATATATATATATATATATAAACACGCAAAACACATTAAATATAACAAATATATATGTATATATTTATAACATGTATATGTATGTATATAACAAATGCTACATATATGTTT